TCTTGACCACAGGTATACTCAAAGCTGTCTCAGACATATTATGGGCTATTAGAATGTCTTGCTCAAGAGGAACCCATGAATTTCTTATCCACCTTAGAGCCCAATGTTTTTGGTTTTGTCCAAAAATCTATATATGAAGGACTCGCAGCTTTCGGTAAGTTATTTATGCTCAGGTTTTTTACTTCATCTTGCTTTGATACATCTAATGGGGTAGACATAACCATATCTTTAGCGAGGATGGTGGATAGGTCATTTAATCATTTCAGAAATAGATGGCAAAATCTTTAGCTGCCATCAAAATCAAAATCAAAATCTGCTATGTGCACATGTGGAAATTGAACTGTTATGCATAAGCAGTTGTAAGTTTTTGAAATAGTGGTGAGTTTACTGAGAATAAGGCTTTTTGAGGAAGATAAGGGATTGTGTGATTGACAAAGTAGATTTAGAGTGTTCAAGTTCAAGAAAGTTTATTGAGATAATTAAATACATCCCAAAAGTATGAAGTAGTTTAAGCTATTTTTACCCTTAATTTGAATATGGGCTGCATGGGAAGAACTGGAAACTTTGGCTGAATCGACTCGCCCAAATCATAGTGCAGTTGACCATTGCCTTAATCTTTTTAATGACACTGTGATGCCTAACTATAGACAAAAATTGAAATGTATGGAAAAACAAATCTCTATGGAAAGGTTTGTAATGAAACAAACAAGCAGTGAACCACAACCAGGTCCTAGTGGTATGCCTGCAAAACGTAGGAGAGAGAGAGTACCTCAGAGAAGTCACCACTGCCTGATGTTATAATGGAAGGGGACTACCCTTCCAAAAACTAAGACCTCTCCTCCCCCCCCCCCCCCCCCCCCACCATCTTTCATACGCCAACAAAAGTCCTCAATATAGGTTAGATAAACATACTGTATTGTAGCTAGAGAAAAGTGTTGTATTTGGTATAAATGTATTTTTAAAGTTAATATTTTTTTGGAGGTGTGGAACGGATTAATTTAATTTACATTATTTCTTATAGGGAAATTCGTTTCGACTTACGAACTGTCTTTGGGAACGGATTAAATTCGTAAGTCGAAGCCCCACTGTAGATTAGTAACAGAATTTAGAGGGCTCAACTATGAGGACAGGTAGAAAGAACTCACCCTCAGAACCTTAGAGGAGAGAAGAAAAAGAGGGAATATCATCACTACATACAAGAGTCTGAGGGGAACAGACAAAGTGGGCAAAGGAAGCCTATATAAATTAAAAAGGATGTAGGACAAGGGAGACATCAGTGGGAGCTGGACACGCAACTGAGTTGAGAGATGTTGAGAAGTCCTGGTTTCCTGTATGGGTGGTCGGCATGTGGAATGCATTAAAGGAAGAGGTTGCTGAAGCCTATTCCACATGCAACTTTATGAACAAGTAAAAAAAAAAGTTAATGTTGAGAGAGATACTTAATATGTCAGGTATAAATGCCTAGATTATGAAGCATAAAGCACTAGATCTCACTCCCCATAGTCACAGATAGGTTACGATTTTGCCACTTTAGATTACACATTACGATATGATAGTTTACACAGATTGTTATGCCTTTTGCCATTTTAGCACTCATAATGTTCCTTTTCTTAACAAGTATTGTGGATATCGTTGACTGTGTGGGCAAGCCATCTGGACCCAGATTGGTCTCGCCATCCATCTTCTGACACACAACCACCAATCTTCGACCTGATATTGAAGTCATGGTCACCTTTGGCTACAAAGGACGAACATCATTAGCTAGATTAGTATTCATTGTTTATGTTAATTTATGACAGTACCTCATGGGGTCTTGGATGCTGTCATTTATCAACAATATAAGAAAGCCCACTTTCATTATTCCTTTAAAATAAATTGCTGTGCTTCTTGCTGTTTGAAAAATATCTAATTATAATAACACATTATACCTAGAGGAGAATTGTGTGACCATCAGTTCTCTAGCCTAACTTAGTGTTTGAAAAGATTATTATTCTTACCTGTTTTTCATATATGTATTCATCTAAGTTTTAAGAAAGCAAGTAGAGATCAAGCCATCTTTTACAACCATAACTAATGATGATTATTTGTGGTGGGAGGGTCTGTTGTACCCCTGGAAATTGTCACATGCAATTCAGTGCTGACAGCTGTAGGCTTCAACTCATAGGAAAAATAAACAGAGGTACCATAATTTTCCTTATAGCAGTTAAGCAATAATGAAACTCTGCAATCATATTGTTAAAAAGAAGCTAAAAGTCATTAATAGTATGGATCTAAAGCGGAAAAGGCAGAAGAATCTGTAATAAATGTTCTAAAATTGCTCCTCATCTTGTTAGACTCACTTTGATTGTTGGGAACAATTTGACACCTTACCAGGGAGTGAATGTAAATTTATGTGGCGACCAGACCGGCTGCCAGTTAAGGCATGGAAGTTATATTATAAGTTGTAAATAAAGGAAAATTGGCGCCCTGTTATAAAATGAAACAGTATCCCCTACGGCAGATATGACCTTTTGGAAGGGAGACAAGCCGATCGCGGATTGGCCGACGCAGGTCGCGGGCGACAAATCAGGGCCCGCCATGACGTCACCGAGTGCCCCGGGCGGCGCCATGGTCAGAGTTGTACTGACCGTGGAAGCGACAGGACGCGCCTCGGTCTGCTCTCAAGGATTGGAGGCTCTGCAAGCCTTGTTCAGTGGATTGAGCTGGTCTTCGCTGTCTATCACAGTTATTGGAGACCCTGCGCTTCTGGGAAGCCAAAGAGGAACCAAGTTCAGTGAGCAGAGAAGTGCCCAAACTTGGAAAATAGTCGGCGACGACGCTGGGCGGCGCCGCTGGCTGGACGTTGAGGTCTGGAAGGTGGGCGAGCAAGCTAGCTGTGACTGGGGTCACATCCACTGAGAATCTTGGAAGGACGACACCGTGCCTAGGACAAGGAGCGACGCCCTGTGGGAGAGGCGAGTGTGGGAAAGATAGTGATTAGCTCAGCGCCCATCGATGAACCAGGATTGGGGCAGCTGAATCTCAGGGATTGGAACGGCGACGACGCGAAGGCTTCACGACACCTGAGGACCTGTGGAACGCCCTGGATCGTCGAGGATCGACCCAAGGAAGCGTGGGAACCTCACACCATCGAGGGACAGGCATCGTGAGCCAGGAGTGTAAGGTAGATCATTTTCCCTCCCATTACCCCTTGTATGAGTAGGCTAGTTAGGCCACAATATTTACTTGTGTATGTGGCAGCAAGACTTTATTACTTTAATAGTAGAATAGGCTGCAAGGCAGCTTGTGTCCAGGACTGTCAGAGAGGACAGTGGGTACGGATGACAGGACAGTGAAGAAGAGGTGCCGACGCGGTGAAGAGGCCCTCCTGTGAGAGTGCGAGACTCCTGTCTTCCTGCCCAGTTGAAGGAGAGTTGGAGGTCGTGGAAGAAGAGGCTGACGATCCCCAGACTCATCATCCATATTCCATATTCATGTATTACTTGTGATGTGTGTGTGTGTTCATGTAATTTGCGTCAGTAAATCCCCACATTTTATTACTGTGTTTGAGTGTGCCTCCATTTGTGATATTTCTCTATGAGCATACATTTCTGGCTACAAACGATATATGATACACCCACTGAACTGCATTGCTGGGGTGCAGATATAATAACCCAGCTGGCGACCTTGCTAAGAGGAAGATAGAGAAGACAGGCGGGAAAGGAGTTCCTGCAACCTTTTTTTTGTCTGGCAGGCAAGACTCAGGGAGGTTATGGTTATAGGTAAGCCTGAGTCTTCCTTCACTCCCCCACGGGTCTAGGCCGGAACTGTTAACAGCAGTTTCCCCGTGGTTGACTGAAGGGCTTCCAGGGTGAATCAGTGGCACCCTTTTGTGGTGGAAGCGAAGACCACAATACACAGGTTATATATAAGTATCTGCATGTTTTGTACACCATAACGAACTACTAAGTTGGTCTTGTGAGTCAGAAAGCAACGTGGAGTGACTGCCACGCACCTTCGAGCCACTCGCTGCCACTCCCTCCCTCAACACCACCTCACTCGCCCTCAATCTCCTCCCACAATACTGTTTTTGCATTTATTCACTATACACAGACGTTATATATACGTATTTACATGTTTTGTTCACCATAACTGTACATCTAAGCTTGTATGGCGAGTAAAGGCACAAAGACATAGCTACTCACACAGTCAGCTGATCAGCGGCTGCCCTCAAGGCCAGACTCACTAATATTTCTCCTCCAACAATATTGTTTGTGGTGTTATTTTGCTATATACACACATTATATATAAATATCTACCTGTTTTATTCACCATACCTGAACAAATAAGCTGGTATGGTGCCCAAAGACCATAGTGGCCATCAGTAAACACCATGCCAAGACGTGCAGACGATGCTCCTCCCTCACCAAAATGGCGGCTCCCAACCTACTCCTCTCGCTGTTATCTCACACTATACACACATTATATATAAGTATCTACATTTGTGTTCACCATAGCGAACCACTAAGCTGGTATGGTGAGTGCAGTCAATAAAAGGTGGCCACACACAGTCAGAAGACGACGCCACAACCCTCCCTCCCACAACCTTACTCCTCCCTCTATGGAGCACAGTGCTAAATATCACCACAATCCTACTATTATCAGAATCCTGGTCAGTTTTATCACAGTCAGGGGGCTTCAGTAATACTCTCACTGCTAAATAATAGCAGTATCATATATATTATGTCATTTGTAGGCGATGCTGTGGTCACAAGCTGAACAGCAGTGCTGTGAGCTCGTGCTGCGTGCGCCAGCCTTGGTGGCTTGCTCAATACTGACCTGTAACACCCAAGAATGTTGGCCTGGATTTTTTTCCTAGGTGGCATCTGGCAACTATCGGTCGTGGCTGTACTATAGCTGCCCCTATCCCAGGCGGGGCGTTTAAATTATGGCGCTAGACACGAAATCATATATATATGATGTGCGTGGTTTCGGTTTTGTCACTGATATCATATATATATGATTTGCGCGGTTTAAGGGTTAAAGTTCTTTCTGAGATTAGGTTATGGCTAGTGAAGCTATATGACATATTAACTCTTGTGTTTGCATTTTCTGTATTTCTTTATTTTTAACTGCTATATATTTGAATTTATATACAACAGTTATTCAGTTTACTCTGACTTTTTAACCTAATTTATGGCATTTCTTAGGTGGCACATATTCCAGTAGTTTGGATATGGCTGGTACTTCAGTGCTAATCATACCCATACCAGAGGGCAATATGTACACCTATGCTCTTAATATGCATATACAGTGTTTGATGCCTGATTGTATTTATGATTCAGATGAACAAGGCTCTGTTCTCCATATGGACAGTTATGACGTTTCAACTTGTGGAGCCTCTACCACAACCTGTGGCAGTACCATTACCGGTAAGTATATAAAAATTGGCACTACTGTATAGAGTTTGGCTCTGCCCATTTTTTTTTGTTGTCATTGCTTGTAAACAAAATTCATTTAATAATATTTTGTGTAATTGTCTGGATTGTCTTATTTTGGGTAAGTTAAATTATAACCATATAATTGAGATTGTCAGTATTTTTTGTCACTGAAATATTTTCTATATTGTCTTTTGCAGTACTTCCAGAGACGGACTCGCATGGTGAAAAGGGTGAGTTTCTTACATTTAATGAACTTTGTTTGTTTCTAAATCTTTATCCCTATACCGAAATAGGGATTTCCAAATAAAGAAATGCCTAATGCAGACATTTTACAAATTTGTTGTTGTATTACCGAATTACCTTGTTTGCCTCTGGATAGGAGGTAGTTTTCGTCACTGGTAGGGGTGCAAGGTACTGAACAGCTAGTTATCACCTATTATAGAGGCCGGCTCTGTTCAGCCTGGGTACGTTGTCCTCTTGTAGGGTTTTTCTTTAGTTTTTGTTTTCCTGCCTGGTGGGGGAGGGGGGATCTGCCTTTGGTTCCTCCCCTATCAATATTACATATGTGTCTTTGGTGGTATCCCCCTGCCAGGCCCTCGTGAGTGGACACATCCCAGGGCTTCAGCTTTTAGAAGTTTGATTGGTAGTTTTGGGCGCCGGTTCGCAGTACCCAACCTGGGCTTTCCTTAGCGTGCTACCAAAGCTAAGGGCCTTGGGAAACTTCGCTGGGGTTCTGTGTTCTGATGGATGTGACCCTTGAGTCCCTTGGTTGCTCTCTTCCCCATGTCTCAGGGTGACACTCACTGGTTGTGCCTCCGCCATCCTGCCTGTAGGGTCAGTCATTCTTTGACCCGAAGTCGTGCGGCATTTGTTGTTTGTACGTGCTCCATGTCCCCCCTCGTTACTGGTTGTGGTATGAGGTACAGGCCGCGGCTGCGTTGCATGCTAAGGTCAAGTTGCTGCAATGTGATGGGTGATTGCTTTCCCGGATGCCCCAAGACTGCCCCGCTATTGTTTTGTCTGCCCCTTCTTATTTTTTCCTTTCTGTTATGTGTCCGGTTCCTTCCCCCCCTGCTTACAGCTCCAAACTGTCTGAGGGTTTCAGAGGCAGGGCAGGGTCTGGTTGGTGTTGAGTCTCGGGGGATGCCCCTTCTGGAGAGGCGACGGAGGCATTCAAGCCTGTTCCTCCAGCCGATGCGGAAGGGTCTGAACAGTGGGGCTTCTTCCTTAGTGTTTTTCTGGCTGCCCCGGCTTCTTCTTGTGAGGCCGGGGCTTTGGGGGGAAAGCTCGACCCTGGGTCCTGCTGTGGGAATTCCAGGGGCGGGGAAGGGGCTGCCTTGGAGATCTTGGGCACCGTTGGACCCCGCCTGGGTGTTTGGGCCCTCTGCGCGGAGCTTACTGTTACGTGAGGTGGGGATTTTCTTTTTCCCACTTTGTATGAGTTGGATTGTTGTCAGCCCCCTCCCTGGATTTGGTTCAGTGTCCCTTCGGGCCCATCGGTCTTGTCCTTCCAGAGATTTAACCCTTAAATGGCGCATGGCTATATACCATTTGACACCCACAGGCGCATACAAAAAAAAAAAAAAATTCTTCCTAACCTGTTAATTTGTGTTCACTGATCATGGGAAAAATAATAAAAAAATCGTAAGTGGCATATATTGCCTGCTATAGGGCGGGAAAGTCTGGCGCAAAACAGGCGCTGACTCAGCGTGCGTCCCAGGCGGTCTGTTGCTTGCCAGCTGTCAGGCTGGAGTTGCCACAATGAGATAATTACCTAATTATTTCAATGTCTCTGATTGATTTTTCATAGTTTTTTTGTGTAATATTATTCAATACAGTAGTGTGTAGTGTGATATATTTATATAATAAAATGAGTGAATCATCGCTGTACTCAAAAAATGGTTTGCATATTGTTGATTCAATTATGTTCATCAAACAGTGAACAAATACTTTGTCGGTTATTACAAGATATACACAGGTTATATATAAGTATCTGCATGTTTTGTTCACCATAACGAACCACAAAGTTGCTATTATGAGTCAAAAAGTAACGAGGAGTGACTGTCATGTACCAGCCAGCCTCAACACCTCACTCGCCCACATTCTCCTCCCACAATACTGTTTTTGCTTTTATTCACTATATAAAGACGCTATATATAAGTATCTACATTCGTGTTCACCATAACGAAACACTAAGTTGGTATGCTGAGTGGCAGTGGCAGCAGTGGCAGCCCGCCACTGGCTGCCACTCCCTCCCTCCCTCACCTCACCTGACTTGCCACCATTCTCCACCCACCATACTGTTTTTGCTTTTATATACAGATGTTATATATAAGTATTTGCATGTTTTGTTCACCATAACTGTACATCTAAGCTTGTATGGTGAGTAAAGGCACAGAGACCTTTACCTGCCCGAAACGCTGCGCGTGCTAGTGGCTATACAAGACTGTAATTACCATATTTGTATCATCACATTCCTTATGTACATTCTTGTATATGCATAAATAAATAAGACGTAGGACTTCACACAGTCAGCTGATGGCTGCCGCCCTCAAGGCCAGACGCACTAATATTTCTCCTCCAACAGTACTGTTTGTGGTGTTATTACGCTATATACACACATTATATATAAATATCTACCTGTTTTATTCACCATACTTGTACAAGTAAACTGGTATGGTGCCCAAAGACTATCGTGGTAACCAGTAAACAACATGATAAATCGTGCAGACGACGCTACCGCCCTCACCCGGTCCGTCTAATTACCACAAGCTACACAAGCTTCACTAAGCTTCCTGGCAATACGTTAGTAATGAATAAATATGATATATTTACTCATTATAATGTTGGTGCTGAATGTACAACACGAAAAAACATAATTTTAATCTGAAAAAGTATCTTTTTATAAAGAAATTAGGCGAAAATAAAAAGCTGGTGACGCCAAATCAAGTCGATGATCCAAGCGTCGGTTAGGTTAGGTTTGGTTTGGTTTGGTTTGGTTTGGTTAAGTTAAGTTAGGTTAGGTTAGGATAGGATAGGTTAGGTTAGGATAGGTTAGGTTAGGTTAGGATAGGTTAGGTTAGGTTAGGTCAGGTCAGGTCAGCCTAACCTAACATATCATATTTATTCATTACTAACATATTGCCAGGAAGCTTTCTGAAGCTTGTGTAGCTTGTGGTAGCTTGTGGTAATTAGACAGACCCCCCTCATCAAAATGGCGGCTCCCAACCTACTCCTCTTGCTGTTTATACCCTCTATACACACGTTATATATAAGTATCTACATTTGTGTTCACCATAGCGAACCACTAAGCTGGTATGGTGAGTGCAGTCAATAAAAGGTGGCCACACACAGTCAGAAGACAAAGCCACCACCCTCCCTCCCACAGCATTACTCCTCCCTCCATGGAGCACAGTGCTAAATATCACCACAATCCTGCTATTATCAGAACCCTGGTCGATTTTATCAGTCAGGGGTCTTCTGTAATAATATTGCTGCATAATAGCTTGAACAAGTATATTATGGCATTTTTAGGCAATGCTGTGGTCACAAGCTGAACAGCAGTGCTGTGAGCTCATGCTGCGTGCGTAAGGCTTGGTAGCTCACTCAATATTGAGGCGCCTAACACCCGGGAATTTGGCCCACGATTTAAAAAAAAAATGGCGTGTGTTTACAAGAGCCCTGATGAAGGGGTGGTGAACCCCGTGTATCCGCGGGCCGTTTAAATCTTGTGTAGTACTCCAAAGCATCACATGATGCGATGCGCAATTTACTGCATGTCGGTCAAAGCATCATATGATGCGATGCGCAATTTAAGGGTTAAAAAAAATGAATATGCAAGTAAAGCCCAGAAACCCCAGACATACCCAAGCAGGACATGTAGAGCTTTACCTCTCTTCCACACACTGGTATACAGTGGTATACACTGGTATACAGAATTATATGAACATGTTTGCTGATGATGCTAAGATAATAGGAAGGATAAGAAATTTAGATGACTGTCATGCCCTTCAAGAAGACCTGGACAAAATAAGTATATGGAGCACCACTTGGCAAATGGAATTTAATGTAAATAAATGTCATGTTATGGAATGTGGAATAGGAGAACATAGACCCCACACAACCTATATATTATGTGAGAAATCTTTAAAGAATTCTGATAAAGAAAGAGATCTAGGGGTGGTTCTAAATAGAAAACTATCACCTGAGGACCACATACAGAACGTTGTGTGAGGAGCTTATGCTATGCTTTCTAACTTCAGAATTGCATTTAGATACATGGATGGTGAAATACTAAAGAAATTGTTCACGACTTTTGTTAGGCCAAAGCTAGAATATGCAGCGGTTGTGTGGTGCCCATATCTTAAGAAGCACATCAACAAACTGGAAAAGGTGCAAAGACATGCTACTAAGTGGCTCCCAGAACTGAAGGGCAAGAGCTACGAGGAGAGGTTAGAAGCATTAAATATGCCAAAACTAGAAGATAGAAGAAAAAGAGGTGATATGATCACTACGTACAAAATAGTAACAGGAATTGATAAAATCGACAGGGAAGACTTCCCGAGACCTGGAACTTCAAGAACAAGAGGTCATAGATTTAAACTAGCTAAACACAGATGCCGAAGAAATATAAGAAAATTCACCTTCGCAAATAGAGTGGTAGACGGTTGGAACAAGTTAAGTGAGAAGGTGGTGGAGGCCAAGACCGTCAGTAGTTTCAAAGCGTTATATGACAAAGAGTGCTGGGAAGACGGGACACCACGAGCGTAGCTCTCATCCTGTAACTACACTTAGGTAATTACACTTAGGTAATTACACAGTAACTGATAAGTAAGCACAAGGACTCTGGGCCCACAGTTAAACATAACAGTTTTATTTTGTTTTGTCCAACATTCTGGTCCATTTTTTACCTTTCTTTGATCCCCAACTTCCTTCTGACTCTGAGAGAGGCAGATTTTGGTCCAGGTTCTCAGCACGTCAACATGAGTCTCAAAAGCATGACAACCATGATCCTAAGACTTGTGACTCGAGCATTTAAGCACCTGGAGCTACTGAGGGATCCTTCCCCAGAAAACAAGTACTGAGTATGGTTGAACACTTTGGTCTAAAGGATGCGTATCTGTTAGAAGGACTTACAAAAACAAACTAAATGGAAATAATACATAGCTGTTGAATCATTTTCCTAGGGTTGCCTTACCATACACAGGATCTGTGAGTAAAAGATAAAGGT